CACACACACACATTGATTATAAACCGCTATCATGCGCACATTCTAAAAAGATTTAAACATTTTCAAAAAAAAAAAACATTTTTTATCACGGTCCTAAAATATTAAAGCCAATATAATACAAATGAAAATAGGTAAAAATAAGAAAAATAATTATTGGAGTTTTGAGGGGTGGTTTTTTTGCTTTGTTGTAGTAAAATACGGACAAAAGAAGTTAGTATGTTCTATAATATTTTTAGTAAAAATATGGAAAACATTTTTTCAGTATTTTTTTCATCCATGCAGTGTTCCCACTCGGTAAAAACAAATGTATTCAATTTCGAGAAAAGAATGTATCCAAAATGGATCCAACCTTTTAAAGTAGAATTACTGTGCTAAGTTGTCGTATTTTGTATATATTAACCCATAACTAATACTGATTTGCTTAATTCAACACTTTTTTTTCAACTTGAGTTTTGTTATTTATAGAAAATTCTTTAACAAATCACATACAACTTCTATTACATTTTAAATGTAAAAGTTAAGGTCAGAAAATAAATAATATATGTTCTATAGTTGTTGAACTATGCGGTTAAGACGATTCACTACATAAACCGACAAATTTTAAAAAATAATTACATTTCCAATTACACCTGGCTTATACCAAAATATTTCTGGTACGTTCTTGTCTAAATGTTGTAGATTTGAATACAAGAAGAGGCAGTACTCATTTAATAAGGTATCTTTCTTACTTTCTAAATAAATTCGAAAATCTGCTTAGAAAATCCAGAAACTACATTTTTTGAAGATAAAGCAATTTCGTAATTTAATATTAGCAGCATTTTAACAGTTTTATAATATTTATTTAGTGTTTCAGAAATAAATGTATCCATATTTCAGCAAAATTTTCAAATGTAGCCAATTTCGGCATTTTGAGAGACTTGAGTATTTTTGTATCCAAGCTAAATTTGAAGCAAAAATGTATCCAAATTGATACAATTGTATCTAAGTGGGAACGGTGCATCCATGTGTATTTTGTACGATATAAATTATATCGCACTATTGTAATAAAACAATGTTCAGTTTATTATCCTGGAAATGTTATTAAATCTAAAATAATTATTTTGGTAAATATTTACACAATATTTAGTTACTTTGTATTTTAAATGCATATGCGTATAGATACGTGTACAAATGTAGTAGTTGGCTAGGTTTTGGTGGGCGTAGTTTTAAAAATATTTCTATGTATGTATATTCATATATATATATATATATATATATAAAATAATTATAGTAATAAAAATTAGAAATGTAAATTTTATTTTCAACAACAACAACAAGTGTGTGTTGTTAAAAAAAATTATAATGTTTTCACCCCATAATAAAAACACATAGATTAATTTTTATGAATTATGTTTTTAATTTTAATTTAACTTTCATTTTGAATTCATCGGTCTGGACTATTATTTATATTTCAATAAAAAGCGGGTATGGTGTGTAGGAGAAGAGAGAGGGGACTCAACATTCGTTTTTAAACAATTACGACAAAGGATCATACGTATTCAAAATATTTTCGGTTTTTCATTCAATATTGAATAGTATTAGATAATTAAAATTAAAAAAATTTAAAAAAAAAAAGAAAAAATAAAATTTATTTACTTATTTGTTTGTATAAAAAAAAATTAACAATTGTTCTTATAAAAAATGAGAGAATGTTCAAAATATCCCCAACGATTTTTAAGATTGCTACTTTTATTTCTATCTCTAATATTTTTCTCTCTGAATGTCATTGCCCCGGAATTTCAATTAATTTATAACACATCCTTACGGTTATATTAACTTAGATATAAGCATACGTGCATTTGTAAGTGCTCATGCACGTACCAAAGTATTACACAAATTTTTCTATAATTTCTAAGTACGCATGCTCGCTTTTTTTTTACCGACCGCATTGTGTATACAATAGGTTATGTAATAGCAACAAATTTCGGATGTCGAGTTTTCGGTGGGAACGCGCTTCTCCATAGTAAGTGTAAATAAACTATTTTTAGCAACCTGTCGGACTGCCGGCCTAAGCTTATTGCGACTATGGCATGGATTGATCAACTTTAGGGATATATCAGGCCTCGAGAACTGGACCGTTTAATGAGCCTGTTTTACATTTTTAATCATGTTGTAGAAAATATTCAACAGATTTACTTGAAATTTCATGTTCATTGGACCGTACACAAAACCTCCTAACTTTTGGAAGAAATCAGATCTGGACGTTTACTATAGGTCGAATATACATTTTTGCGTATATAAAGAGAAATAACAAACAGATTTCATTGAAATTTAATATTTGAATTTGAGGTGTTAAAATAATGAGTCTATCAATTTTTTGGAAAGATCAGGGCTCGGAAACTGATCTGGGACCGATTTTACATATTTTTTCATATTTCCGAAAAGAATTGATGGAATTTTTTGAAATTTAATATTTGAGTTCTGATTGTTACCACAAGTTACTGATAAGCTTTTCGTATAATTCGGACGGCACAAAATGAAACTCTACTAAGAGTCAAATTCTGATTTTCCTAGGTATGTTAACTAAAAGCTTATTAGTGTCCTTAAAGTTGTTAAAAAGTGTTTAAAACACATTTTCACAATCTTCTGGAATACATTTACACTTTAGACAACATACTTTGCGGTCAGTTATGTGCTGACCATATTAGATTTTTTTCTGTTAACTATTTTGGCATTTTCTCTGATTTAATTACATTTTAATTGTGTGCGTGGGTAGATATATATGTATATGTATGTGAATATGTATATATGTATATCTATATTTATGTATATGAATATGTACCTGCATATGTACATGTATTTGTGTATGTAGATGTATATGTATATGTATATCTATATGCATATGTATATTTCTATGTATATGTATATGTATATGTTCATGTATATGGATATGGATATGTATGTGTATACGTATACGTATATGTATATGTATATGTATATGTATATGTATATGTTCATGTATATGGATATGGATATGTATGTGGATACGTATACGTATATGTATATGTATATGTATATGTATATGTATATGCATATGTATATGTATATGTATATGTATATGTATATGTATATGTATATGTATATGTATATGTATATGTATATGAATATGTGTACAACGCAATAAATATAAAATCTGTTGGGGAGGAGGGGGGGGGGGGGTTGAGAAAAACGTAAATTATATGGATAAGATAGAAGGGAAGTTGTACTTATAGTTTTTATTTCACCTTTATTACTATCCAAATTTTCCACGGCATGTTTTATATGGTGAGGAAAAAATACATATGTATGTGTATTATATTACAAATTACGAGAGAGAAAAATTGTTGTTGACCTGTAATTGATTTTGGATGAACAACTTAAAGGGTGGGGAGATTGGAAAGAGGGAAGTAAATGATGTGGGAAAAACAAGAATAGAAAAGAAAAAGGGGGAAATAGTGTAAAAGAAGCTGGGCTGGAGTAGATAAAGAGAGAAAATGAATACAAGAAGAGAAGAAAAAAAGAATAAAGTTGGGTCAAACCAATGGTTTGTAATGTAGCAAATTTTCCCTTCAACAAGTAAAAATACTGCTTTTAAAAACAATTCAAATTTTGTAAATTTCGAGGGGTTATAACTTGAGACGGAGTGGAGGTGGAAAAAATTTTCTTCCAACGAAATGAACTGTTTTAGGGGAGATAGGCAAAAATTTTTTCTACGGAAATAAATTTCTAGTAACAGTCTATGTACATTTAAGATTTCAGCTTTCTATCACTAAGGGTGCAGAAGTTTTGCAAACATGCCCACGGACGGATGGGTAGAGAGAAAGTAATAAGCCCTTTTTTCAAAAATTTTTTGGAAAAGTGCTAAAGAGGAAGTGTGCCTTAAACTCTTATTTGTAATTTAAGTAATGAAAGAATTTCGAATCGAACTTTAAAGATTTAAAAAAAAAATAAAATTCAATAATATTTGCACGCTAGGGAGTTTTCAGTTAACTTACTAAAAAAATCTGATGTGCTCAGCACATAACTCTTATATTGTCCGCAATGTATATTGTCTAGATTTTTAAAAGTATTCCAGAGTATTATGAAAATATGTTTTAAACACTTCTTTACAATTCTAAGGACACTAATAAACTTTTAGTTAACCTTTTAGTTAACCTTAACCGGGCCCTGATCTTTCCAAAGAATTTATAAATTCATTGTTTTAACACCTCGAATTTAAATATCAAATTTCAATGAAATCGGTTGATTGTTTTTCGTTATATACGCAAAAATGTTTATTTGACCCATAGTAAACGTCCAGTTGCTGACACCTGATTTCTTCGAAAAATTAGGAGATTACAGGTACGGTCGAATAAATCTTATATATGAAATTTCAAGTAAATCTGTTGAATATTTCGTCAAAATGATCAAAAAGTAAAACAGGCCTGCTAAAAATTTAAATTCCTGAGGCCTGATATATCCCAAAAGTTGATCAATCCGTGCTATAGTCGAATAAATTATAAAATTGATGATAAGTTATCAAATAATATTCCTAAAATATTTACAAGTTCGTTGTTTTAACACTGAATTTGAAAAAAATTTGTTGATTATTTCTGTTTTATTTTTAATATGCGCAAAATATAAAATCGGCCCTTGAAAAACTACAGTTTCCGAGACCTGATATATCCCAAAGGGTGATCAACCCGTGACACGGTCAAAATAAACTCATATACAAAATTTCATAATCGGTTCAGCTGAACTTAAGATACACTGTGCGTTATACACAAAGAACGACATCTTGCTAAAACAAGTTTATTTACACTTCCCTACTAGAAAAAAGTACGTTTAGACCCACAAATCGATACGCAAAATTTGGTGCGATCGATCACATAACCTTCTTTATTGTATGCAATACGGTCGCCAAAAAATTACATTTATTTTAAATAAAAAAAATTATTTGTTTTTTATTAATCTCATTTTTTCATTTTTTTTTGTGATTTCAGATTTTATGATTTTTGGGGGGGGGGGTTAAAAGAATTACACACAACAGTATAATAAGTACATACACAAAAATTTTAATAAAAAAAAGAATAAAACAGAGAGTATAACAAAAACTACTTACTAGCACAACACCAATTTCATTAATAATTGGTTTTTTTCAATTTAGTTTGATATCATAAAAAGAACACAAAAGCAAAATAGTTTAATAAACAGAACGCAATCATCATTCCAATTTAAAGTAAAAAAATAAAAAAAACTAAAAAGCAGCCATAAACTTGTTTGGGTGTCTCTTAATTTCAATCAACTAACAATATACAGTTTTATTTGTCTATGTCAGCAGCAGTGGGAGTTTTTACTTTAATTAAAGTAAGTTTAAAATTTAAGTCAAATTTTGATTTTATATGAAAAAAAAAACAAATATAATTATTATAATAGTGCTTAATTTTATGACAATACGGCGAACCATTCGACTGCTTCCAAGTTTCGACTTAAACCAAAATCCGAGATATTTAACAAATATTTTGAATTCTTCATCGTATTCAAATTTGTAATCTAGAGTTATTTAAATTTAAATTTCTTTAAATCTTTAAACTTTATTTGCTTAAAATATCATTTCTCGTGTACTTGTCCTCATTACCTTTTTGTTGATTTTTATAAAAATCCAAAACAATTGGGGAATTCTGTTAAAATTAAATATCTTGTAGATAATTATTATTTTTCTATTCTTACAATTGATTCAATTTTTTTGAATTAAACACTCCTTTAAATATTGGATTTTTATTTAAATCCTTTGAAAATATAACGAAGTACCTAAAAAAACAAATCGCTACTGTTACTGCGGGATTAAAATTTTTGTGCCATAAAATAAGCTTAAAAACAGTTGTAAATAATAAATAAAGATTTATCAAGAGTTATGAGTTGGCACTTTCTCCCTCTCTCTCGTATTCAGGTATTTCGAATCCAGGTACAATTCTGTAATATAATAAATAAATAATATATGTATAACATAAATACATAATATATACATAATACATACATAAATTATATATATTTGTATACATAAATTCATATATTTTGTAATTATTATTTTCGGATTTTTGGGGTGGAAGTGGGGCTGAAGGGTCTATGAAGGGAATAATAAAACCAACAGGTGCTTTAATCCTGAAAAGGAAAAAAATGGCAAAAGCACATTTTTTTTGTTTTGTTCTTTATAAGAACGCAACAATAGTGTATGTTTTGCTTCATATACATACAGATGTTATACATATTATATTGCATTGAAATTGGATAATTAATTTGGTTTGGTATGAAAAAATTTGGGAAAAAGAGAATTAAGAAGATAAATGGGGGTTTGGTAGTGAAATAAAATGTAGGAAATCAGAGAGTGGTGATACGGTAGGCAAAACTTGACGACATTGATGATAAGAGAAAGTTGGTATAGACAAACAATTTTTTTGTTTCCTCATATAATTTCATAATACATTAGTAATAAAATTTTTATAACACAAATAAGCTACATAAATATTATACACAAATAAATATGTGTACATATAATTTTATGAATGCATAAACGACGTTTAATATATTAAAGCGATATTTGTCCTTTTAAATATATTTTTGAGGAAAATAAGATTAGGAAATTCAAAAAGAATTATTCAAACTCAAAAAAAACATGTATGGAAATTATAATATGCAATGTAGAATTTTAAAACTTCAAATAAGCAAGTAAAATAAAATAGAATTAAAATCACACAAAATAAAAGATTATTTTTTTTGGTTTTTTTTAGTATATATATGCTGAATATAGATGAGGCAGAGGAAGAATAATTGCAATTTAAATTAAGACTGATAAGAAATAAATTCAATTGTAATATTGATTGAATTGTAATATAGAAAAAGAAAAATGTAGATCGGTTGTTGATACTTTAGTTATAATGATGATTTATTGTATATATACGAGTACTATTATAAAGGATTTTTCATTCGAAACAAAAAAAATCATAAACAAAAATTCAATTGAGTTTTCATTTATAATTATGGCGACTTCTTAGAATTTTTATTCAATTTTGTGTAACAAGAAATAAAAATTTATAATTTACTCTAATTTATTATATTCGGTTGACAAAATTATTTGATTCGAAATTTTTGACCATTATTGTAATATTAAACTTCTATATTGTAGACCATTATTATTTAATGTTACAAATGGAATTAAAAATTTATAATATACTCTTCGGGCATATGTTTTTATGGGTATAAAAATAATTTTTTTTTTAAGAGTTCTTAATTAATTAATTTTTTAGTAATTTTTTTTTGCTTATTTTTTTTAGGTCTTATGTTTTAAAACATGAGGCTGCTAATTGGTTTACTGTTGCTGGCAACAACATTCTTTCAGTATGTAATATATGTGACATATGCAGTTACTACAAATAGTAAACTAGATAGTTCATCATTAAAAAGAAGTAATCAGCAACAATTTTTACAACAATCATTTATTGGTACACCACAGCAACAGCAACCGCAATCACAGCCACAGCAGCAACAACAACATAATCATCAACAACAAGCACAACAACAAGAACATCAACAGCAACAGCAAAAATATTTTAATTTAACTAATATTATAACACGACGTACAGAATTTGAAACAAAATTAAATCATTTAGTTGTTGATACAGTTACTGGGCGTGTATATGTTGGTGGAGTTAATCGTTTATATCAATTATCACCAGACTTAGATTTAGTTGAAACGGTTAAAACAGGTCCACAAAATGATTCATACGATTGTACAGCATTAGAATGTGCATCAAATACACAACGTGAATTAAGAGATAATTATAATAAAGTTTTATTGATTGATAGGGCAACATCACGTTTAATATTTTGTGGTTCATTATTCCAAGGCACATGTACAGTTAGAAATTTACAAAATGTTAGTCATGTTGAACAACAAGTTGCTGAAGCAGTTGTTGCAAATAATGAAAATGCATCAACAGTTGCATTTATTGCACCAGGACCACCTCAACCACCAGTTACAAATGTTATGTATGTTGGTGTCACATATACAAATAATTCACCATATCGTAGTGAGATACCAGCTGTTGCATCAAGAAGTTTAGAAAAGCAGCGTATGTTTCAAATAGCATCATTGGCTGTTACAACTGGCACCAGAATATTTATTAATTCATATGCACGGGAAGCATATTTAGTTAATTATGTTTATGGATTTAGTTCAGAACGTTTTTCATATTTTTTAACAACACAATTAAAACATAGCCATTTATCAGCACCAAAAGAATATATTAGTAAATTGGTTAGAATATGTCAAGAGGATTCAAATTATTATTCATATACAGAAATACCAGTTGATTGTATAAGTGATTCCAATGGTGGTAAAAAATTTAATTTAGTTCAAGCAGCTTTTTTAGGTAAAGCGGGTTCTGATTTAACTGAAAATTTATATATAACAGAACAAGATGATGTATTATATGCTGTATTCTCTGAAGGACGTTCTGATAAACAAGAAGAATTTAATAAATCAGCATTATGTATTTATTCATTAAAACAAATACGAAGAAAATTTATGCAAAATATTAAAGCATGTTTTAATGGTAATGGACCAAGAGGTTTAGATTTTATATCACCAAATATGAATTGTGTACCAACAAAACTACAAACAATAAGTGAAGATTTTTGTGGTTTAGATGTTAATTCACCTTTGGGTGGTGAACAACCAATAGCAGCAATACCAGTTGCAACATTTAATACACATTTAACAGCTGTTGCTGCAACAAGAACAAGTGGCTATACAGTTGTATTTATTGGAACATCAAATGGTCATTTAAAAAAAATTGTAGTTGAATCAGCAAGTCAAGCGAATGAATATGCTGATATACCAATTGATAATTCAAGAATATATAAAGATATGCATTTTGATAATGATCAAATGCATATTTATGTTATGTCAGAACGAAAAGTATCAAAAGTTAAAGTACATGACTGTGCTGTATATAAAACATGTATGGAATGTTTAGGGGCTAAGGATCCATATTGCGGTTGGTGTTCGTTAGAAAACAAATGTAGTTTAAAATCAATGTGCCAAGATGATGCAAATGATCCATTATATTGGGTTAGTTATAAAACTGGTAAATGTACAACAATAACAAGTGTTGTACCACATCAATTACAAAGAACAACTGCTCGTACATTAGAACTAATAATAGATCATTTGCCTCAGCTAAAAGAAGATTTAGTATGTGCATTTACAATTGAGGAAAAGCCATTATTTACAAATGCTACAAAAAAGAGGAACGGAGTTAATTGTACCACACCGAGAACTGATTTGTTACCACGAATTGAGCAAGGAAAACGTGAGTAATATATATGTGGAGATATGTTATTTCAGGGATAATAATATTAGTTTCCAATTTTTTTTTAAAGTTTTAAAATAATAAACATATTGATTACTTTTGTTTGTTTCATTTTTCTTGTCTCTCCATTATATAGATCATTTCACAGCAAAGTTATCTGTAAGAACTAAGAATGGTCCAGATTTGGTATCAACTGATTTTACGTTTTTTGATTGTTCAACACATTCTTCATGTACTAGATGTGTTTCATCAGAGTTTCCCTGTGATTGGTGCGTTGAAGCACATCGCTGCACTCATGACACAGCTGAGAATTGCCGAAACGATATTTTGGTTACTGGTGTTAGCGTAAGTTTTTTTTCATTTTTTTTATATCTTACTTATTCATTGCAATTTCTAATGTTTTTAATTGTATCATAACTATTTGATTTATTTAACTTTATTAGCGAATTGGTCCTAGTTACCGTTCAGGACCAAGTTATTGCCCAACAATAAATGCAACCGGTGATGGTAGTGAAATTCTAGTTGCTGCCGGTACTAGTAAATCAATTAAAGTTAAAGTTCATATTATTGGACAATTCATTGTACAAACACGTTTTGTATGCCAATTTAATATCGAAGGTCGTGTAACAAGTTTAAATGCTCAACTACTCGGCGATACAATTTACTGTGATAATATGGAATTTCAATATACCTCAAGATCACCCAATTTAACAGCAACATTTGCAGTTATATGGGGTGGTTCAAAACCATTGGATAATCCGCATAATATTCATGTTATTATATATAGATGTCGTGATATGTCAGATAGTTGTGGTATGTGTTTAGCATTACCAGAAAAATATAATTGCGGTTGGTGTTCATCTACAAATTCATGTGAAGTTGAGGAGCAATGTAATAAAAACGGTGAGGGTAAAACTGATTGGTTAAATCGTATGGAAACATGCCCAAATCCAGAAATTCATTCGTTCACTCCAAAAACTGGTTCTTGGGAAGGTGGAACAAATATAACGATACGTGGTATCAATTTAGGTAAAAATTTCTCTGATATCTATTCTGGAGTTAAAATTGCTGGAATACCATGCGCTCCATATCCACAATTATATATTGATACAAAAGAAATTGTATGTACGGTAGATAGTCCTGGTATACAAGCATATCGCAAAGGTAAAATTGTTGTACAAATTGGTGATTACCGCGGCGAATCAAAAATTGATTTTGAGTTTGTTGATCCAAAAATTGATAATTTTCACCCGAAATTTGGTCCAGTGTCTGGCGGAACCCAAATAAGTATAACGGGGCAATATTTAAATGCTGGTTCTAAAATTCAAGCATTCATTAATGATCATTTGCCATGTGAAATATTAAGTGCAGATTCAACAATAGCATTGTGCAAAACAAGTCCAGCACCAGGAATTATTGAAGGACGTTTAAAAATGCAATTCGATAACGGTATGCGAGAATTTAACGATTATAATTTTAAATATGTTGAAGATCCTACAATAGAACATGTCAGTTCTGGTCCGACTGGACATCAAAAAGTGCCAAAAGGTAAATTAAACAGCAAAACGAATCGACTTAATCCATGTGTGTATATTTTTTAGGTATTCCTGCTGGTGGTATTAAAATTTCTGTAAAGGGTGATCAATTTGATTATGTCCAGAATCCTCGAATGTACGTTTATTATGAAGATAAAATGTGGATATCACAGTGTGATGTTCATTCGAATACTGAAATGATTTGTGATTCACCGACAATTGAAGCTGATGATTCAAATTTAGATGTTGAAAAGCCAGAATTATTAGAATATGGTTTTTTAATGGATAACGTTGCTGCTGTGCAAAATTTATCAGTTAAACATAAAAATTCTTTTTATTTATATCCGAATCCAATCTATCAACATTTTGAAGAGAATATTAAATATTACAAAAGTGAATATTTGACAATAAATGGTAAAAATTTAGATCGGGCTTGCAAAGAAAGTGATGTAACAGTATTAATTGGCTCCGGTATATGTAACATAACATCATTATCAAGACAACAATTAACATGTCGACCGCCTTCAGAATCATCTGACACGTCAAATGATGTACCAAGTGTCGTCGTTAAAATTGGACCAAATTTAAGTTACGTAATCGGTAAATTAAGTTATGCATCACCAAATTTAATACATGGAATTGGAAAAAACGCCCTTGTTGGAGTTATAACTGGTGTATTTATATTACTTATGGTATTTATTGGACTATTAGTTGCGTATAAAAAGAAAACATCAGAATCGAATCGTGTGCTGAAAAATATGCAAGAACAAATGGATATATTAGAATTAAGAGTAGCAGCCGAATGTAAAGAAGCATTTGCTGAATTACAAACTGAAATGACTGATTTAACGGGTATAACATAATAAAAATAAATAAAAAAACTTATGTACATATATATATATATATATATATATTAATTGCATTTTAGGTGATCTCACGTCAGGTGGAATTCCATTTTTAGATTATCGTTCATATGCTATGAAAATTTTATTTCCAAATCACGAAGATCATATTGTGTTACAATGGGAAAGACCAGAATTATTACGAAAAGAGAAGGGTTTACGTTTATTTGGCCAATTAATTATGAACAAAACATTTTTACTATTATTTATAAGAACATTGGAATCAAACAGATATTTTTCAATGAGAGAACGTGTCAATGTTGCGTCATTGATAATGGTAACTTTGCAATCAAAATTGGAATACTGCACTGATATATTGAAAACATTATTGGCTGAATTGATTGAAAAATGTATTGATGGCAAATCACATCCAAAACTATTATTAAGGCGTACAGAAAGCGTTGCTGAAAAAATGTTGAGTGCTTGGTTTACATTCCTTTTATATAAATTTTTAAAAGAATGCGCTGGAGAACCATTATACATGTTATTTAGAGCCGTTAAAGGTCAAGTTGATAAAGGACCTGTTGATGCATGTACGCATGAAGCTAGATATTCATTAAGTGAGGAAAAATTAATACGACAAGTAATTGATTTCAAATGTATGACAGTATATGCTAGTATAACACAACAACCAATATTTTGTAACAATATTGAAATGATGCCTACAAACACAGAAAATGTTCCAGTGAAAGTATTAGATTGTGACACAATTGGACAAGTTAAGGAAAAATGTTTAGATACAATTTATCGCAATATACCATCAAGTCAAAGACCAAGAAAAGATGATTTAGATTTGGAATGGCGAACAGGAGCTACAGGTCGTGTAATATTATATGATGAAGATTCAACATCAAAAGTTGAAAATGAATGGAAAAAATTAAATACATTACAGCACTATCGCGTGCAAGATAGTGCATGCTTAAGTTTAGTACCTAAACAAAGTTCCATTTACAATTTTTCAATATTATCTGATAAAAATGATAAATCTCACAAGTAAGTTAATATCTGTCTAATTAATTTGTAATGTCCTTGCAATACTTGGCAAAATCTAATTTTTGTTTTAAAATATTTCATATAAACAAATATTTTTTATAAATGTAGGTATGAAACATTGAATCTGTCTAAATACACATCATCATCACCAACATTTAGTCGCGCTGGAAGTCCATTAAATAATGACATACATGAAAATGGTATAAAATACTGGCATTTAGTTAAGCATCATGATACAGATTTGCAAAAAGAGGGTGAAAGAGTTAATAAAATGGTATCAGAAATTTATTTGACACGTTTATTAGCAACAAAAGGTACATTGCAAAAGTTCGTTGATGATTTATTTGAGACTGTGTTTAGTATAGCACATCGGGGATCAGCATTACCTTTAGCTATAAAATATATGTTTGATTTCTTAGATGATCAAGCATTATTACATGGTATTACAGATCCGGAAGTGGTACATACATGGAAAAGTAATAGTTTACCATTAAGGTAATTACCATTTTTAAATCAAACACTTTTTTAGTTGACATTTAATTCTCTAAATAAACATTAATTTTTTGTGGATTTTATTTTAGGTTTTGGGTAAATTTAATAAAAAATCCAAATTTTGTTTTTGATATACACAAATCAAACATAGTAGATTCTTGTTTGTCAGTAGTTGCTCAAACATTCATGGATTCGTGTTCAACGTCCGATCATAGATTAGGTAATTATATTAAAATTATTATTTTATTTATTTTATAATTTCTAATCAAATTTAGAGGTGCATATCGTTTTGTACACTTACACTTTTTTCTGTAATTTAAATTATTTATAATTTATTATGTGTCCAATAATGACTATACATTCATTGCTAAATCCATTTTAATAATTCCTTTTTATAAAATAACCAAAAAAAAACTTATAATAATAGTATAGAGAACAACATTTTTAGAAAATATATGAAAATAATAAAAAAAAATAAAAAAGAAATCAAAAAGACTGGTGAGCCGTGTATTCTTAAGGAATAATTTCACTCCACATTAGGTAATTCCATATGCACCACATAGATTTCAAATCATAATTCTATCATATTATTTGATATCGTACAAACAGTAAATAATTCATACGATTCATATGATTCACGTGGTTTCGCAGTAAATTCCTAAATATAATTTAATATCAAATGATCCTGTAATTCAGTATCATTACTTAAATAATTTGATATTAAAAAACATTTTTCCATGATTCAATATCAAAAAATTTTATTTTCATATTTTATTCAAATGAATCTTGCAAAAGAATCATAAAATTCTTTTGTGTGGTTTAGTATTAAGTAATATTACGAATTTCGTTTGTGTTGTGTCTATTTATTTACAGCATAACATAATAGAGTTATGCTGTATTCAATAAATTATTGTTTTTGTATTATATATAAATGGAATTTATTCAATTTTTTATGTATAATAGGAAAAGATTCACCTAGTTCGAAATTATTATATGCAAAAGATATACCTGAATATAGACGATGGGTTGAAAGATATTATGCTGATATTAGGGAAATGCCAGCTATTTCAGATCAAGATATGAATGCAATGTTAGCTGAAGAATCTAGGGTAAGTAATAACAAATTTAACACAGAATAAATAAATTTTGTTAAAATAAAAAGACTTCTTGCCCTGCTATATATATTGTATATTTTTTCATTCATATTTTATATATTAATATATTTTTTGATTTATTTTCTAAGAAATGGAAAATAAACTTATTCAACAAATAAATTTATTAACAAAAATAGGTGTATATTCTACTTATACAAATCAGTGTAATCTAATTTACTACCTCTGTACTTCCAAAGACCATATATATCTGATACGATAAATATATAGTCTTTAGGACTACTTATTTACTTACTACTTACGTACGAAATTTATTTCAATTGTAAATTAAAAGAAGAAATAAAATACTTATAGATATTTTTATACTTTTCTGTTGCTTTTGGAAGCAAAATTATGGAAAATTTGTTTTAAATTATTACATGTATATTAGAAAATTTTTTACGCTTTTATCATTCATAAACTTATATTAAAATAAAATGAAATAAAAAATTATTTCCGAAATTTCAAATTTAAATTAAAGAAATTTCATTTATTATATTTATTATGTTGATGTGTTATTTTAGATTATAACTTTTATTGAACCTTTTTATTTAAGATTAAATTTTAAAAATTTCACTAAAATATTTGATAACATTACAATATGTTAAACTTTCAACATACTTGCAATATACATGTTGCCAATCCACATATAAAGGGTGTCTCCAAATTCACGCAAGAAGTAATTTTGATAGAAAACACAGGTTTATAATTAAAAATTGCAAATTTTTTATTGATTTATATAGTACGCATAACCCTATATTTGTGTATGGAATAGCATGTCGGGTAAATAGCCTCCATGACTTTGTTGGCACACACGCACCCTTTTCTTGAAATTTTCCGTGATTGTTTTGCATAAATGTGACTGAATTTCGTTGATTCAGCGCTACTCCTAACCCAAAATCTGCACCAAACAGTGACACGTTACGGATGCACTTATTTTTCAACAATCACTTGTGGATTTTCTGAATCCCAGATTCGACAATTTTGTCGATTAACATTTTGATGATTTTGTTCGCAAAATTTTCATTATTTTTAAAACCCCTAAACTGTCAGCTGTAACGCGGTATTTTTTTTTTTGTTGGTTGGCAACACTTCGCCGCATAAATGCCACAAAATTCAAATCTTGCGTAAATTTTCGGATACCTTTTATTATCTTTTTCCAATATCCTAATATCATTTGAATCAATATCCTAAATTATCACTCTTCAATATTCTAAATAATATATAATGTATTTCATATTCTAGTTTAATTTTTAACCGATTTTTTTTTATTTTGAATTTTAAATTGGTTTTTTGTTTTAATAATTAAATTGTGTTATAATAAAAACAGTTACATACAACGGAATTTAACACAAATTGTGCCCTCCACGAATTATATACATATGCTGTAAAATATAATGAGCAATTGACTGTAACTTTAGAAGAGGACGAATTTTCACAAAAACAAAGACTAGCATTCAAACTGGAACAAGTTCATAATATTATGTCAGCTGAATAAAATTTAATAAAGTAATTATAAATATTTACAAAAATATTTATAAAAATATATAATAAAATAAAGATATATATGTAGATATATTAAAAAATATATACATATATATGTATATAAAAAACATTTTAGATAAGTTAAAAATTTATAAAAAAAAAAGCAAAATTTTATAAAAAACAAAAAAAAAAACAAATATTTGTATAAACAAAAAATTCCAAAAACAAAAAAAAATTGTAAAATAGAATAAAAAGCCAAATATCATTATAACTTAATAACAAAAAAAAAAATTTAATTTAAACCCTTATTGCGATTGTCAATTATCTGTTAGTCACTGTCGACTCCTTAAATTAATTTCAATTTCTTTGCGCAAATTTTGGACTTTTTTTGAAATGTAATATTTTTTAACTCAATATGTTTATGACATAATTTGCAATATAGCAGTAATATTATGACACAATTTTCAATATTGCAGTAATACTATATTACTATTCACATAGTTGAAAAAAAAATCATAGAGTGAATTGTGTATTGATATCGTTTTAGTGTCAATTTTGAAGGCAGGAATAACAGCCGTACTCTTTTATACGAATTGATATACGTGAAATATAAGTTGAAATAAGTTTTTAATATTGTATGTGATTTCAAATTTATAGTAATACGGTAATATTGAAATTGTAGAATTAGTATCAATAACGTATGAATCATGGTATTTTCGTATTGAAAAACTCTTTCTATATTTCGAACTTGATTTCTCAAAAATACATTTTTTTTTTATTTTCTAAAAATACTTAAAACAATTTCTTTCGCAGGAAAAATTTTAATTATAGTAAATTTTATTGCTTGTAATTAGCAATTAACAAGATTAGGTGACACTGCTTAATCTTACCACATATTAACAAAACACTAGGTGTACCGCTTGGTTTATTCTGTACACCATAACAAGTATGCAGTTGTTATTGCTGAAATCTGTAACAATATAGTATTACTCCAATTCTCGAAGTTAACGCATGCTATATGATTTAAGATCATTTCATTGACCTAATTAAAAAAAATGGAAAACACATGCATGTAATGGGCGCAATCAAAAATTATGTGCTGCCTTTTCAACATACCAAATTTATTCAAATTGCAATGTAGAATTCAGAAATTAAAATTAACAATTTGATTTGTGTATTAAATACTATAAAGGTCTTTGATTTGAAGTCAGGGCTTTTTAAAATTGAACTGACCGAATATGCATAACTTCCAAAAGCAAATATCTACCGAAGTTTATGACTCTTAATTATTGACAATATAGAATTTTCGCCAGATTTTATTATACTCTGTCAAATTTAATCTATTCAACAATGCAAATTCAATTGTTAGCAACAGCTTTTGCACATTTCCGATCATGTATATTTGTCCAATATTTTGATTATGATTTAGAATAGCTTTGAATTTCTAAAATTTTATTGATAAATATTTTTTTTTCTTTCAATTTTATGAAAATATTTATAATTTAGTAAAACAATAAAAAAAATTGGTTTTAATAGAACTAAGTTTATTATTATTAAATTTTGTGTTATAGTAGTAGGTATATAAGTAAATTAGGTATAAAAAAAAAATTAAGTTTTCTTTGCATGTTTTTATTGTGTCTTTAGAATGACTCCAAAGTTTATAATCATTTTGTATTGATACAAAATTCAGCAATCCCAATTTACAGATTGAATTGCGAATTAGTTTAACACGCTTTATTTTAATTTGGAAGTCATAAGTGTAAATGTATTTGAAATTTTTTAATATTAAATGATGCCAATATAATGCCATATAATTTTACTTGTTCTACTATTCTGCTATAATAATTAATTTTATATTTAGCTCTTTTTTATATTCAGGACTTTCTTTTTAAATAATGCAATCCGTAATATCCATACTAAATTGAAAATCGAATGCCAATAATAATTTAGATCAAGTTCAAATGAGATAGAACGTCAAATGAGAACTGTATTGAATTTTCTCATAGAGTTATTTACAGTTTGCAAAACGACTAAGTAGTCAAACGATAATTATTCGAATATACGACGAGACTGTATTATCGTTCACGAACGAAAAAATTCACCAGACAAAACTCCTTGCTATCTTAAATCACGAAACAAACTTACATTTAAACTTCTTAAAGGAAATAAAGTGATTAACATAGGGTCATTTTCTAATAATTCAGTCCTAAACTCTAGACAAAGTTTTAACTTAAAACTTGATGAAATTTTAAAAAAAACCTCAGTAATGTTGCAATTTTAAATAAAATTGTAGTAATATTGCAGTAACTGTTCTTTCCAAACAAAAAAACTTTTCGCTTCGAATCATAATAGCTTTTTAGCGAATATGCCAGCAATGATATTTTTCTTGTTGTGTTACCAAAATGTTGGCTTAAAGTTAATTCAAATTAAAATTTTTTTTTGTTAGTTTTACCTTACGGTTATTTGCAGTATATTTTAATTTTATTTAGTTTTCTGTTTTTATTTAATATTGTCGAATACGAAATTTAAAAATTGAATTTTGTACAATATTAAAATATTTAATCAATTTTTTTGATACTTAATCATTTATTCACTTTGGTTTTAAATCTGTAATAACATATTAAGTAATTATTATTAGAAGTAAATAAATTTTTTGGAAGTTTTCGAAATCAATTTATCATTATTTAATTATTATTATTTTTTTTGTATAATAAAAACAATACTTTATCATTAATATTATTATGTACAAATATATAATTATTTTTTTAATAAAAATAAAAAAAAATAAAAAGTTATACAAAAAACATTTTTTTATTAGATATTCTTTTTTACTAAAATAAAAAAAAAAAAACAAAAAAAATATAAATATTTTTTTTAAACAACTATTATTAATTTAGATATTTTGTTTATATAATAAAAATAATTTTAAAATTTAAAATGTAACTTAGAAATTATGTATCATGTAAAAAAAAAATTTTGTAAATGATTCCTAAGTTGATTATATAAAAATTGAATCGATTGTAACATCGATAAAGATATTAAACCAAACAAAAAAGTATATATAAGTATATACATTTAAAATCCAAAAAAAAAAAAATATCAAAAATGAAAAAAAATAAAAAAATGTAACATGAAATTTTAATTTTTTGTTTTTATTTTTATCATAATTATTTGTTTTTTAAGTATTTATTATTTGCTCTGACATCAAAATTCCAATAAATACTTTATTGACGCAATTCAAATAATAAATCCCACTTACTGAATTGTCTACATACTGATTCTATATTATTGCAATTTTGAAGTTAGAGTCCTTGACATTTATTTATAAGCTGAAATTAATGGGAAAAAATTCTAAGTTAAACCAAAAAAAATTTAAAAATGAATAAATTAAATAAATTTTTTTTACATACATACATACATACATAGCATACATAATACAATAATGGTACATATAATTATGAAATTGATGTGCTTTTTTTCATCAATTTAATGTAACATTTGTTCTAATTAATGCAAATGTTCTAAAAAATGCAAATTACAACTTTAGAATGTATCACTGCAATTTTTAAGTAAATGAAAATTTATTAGGTAGTAATTCATTTCTATATCAAATCATTTATAAAATTAAATTTTCTTTAAATATTTTTATTATTTCTCAAATTACATATCTGTAAATTGATGATAATTTCGATTCTGCGACGAGTTACTGTATTGTCTATCAATAAATGTTGTTGATTTTTAATATTTTTAAAGTGGAAAATCTACTAAATTTTGCATAAACAAGTTGTTTCGATCTAATTCGCATTTCTAAATAAAGAATATACCGCCAAATAGCAAAAATGATTTTTTTTCTTGAAAGACTACCACCTAAGTGTTCGGGCGTTTTAGAAAATGCAGCTCTTACATTACAGAAAATGCTGCTTTTAAAGTTACATGTACAAATTAAATGTAGGGCTTTTAAAGCTTTGTAGTTCTAACCTTAAGAACTGCATTTTTAAAAACACTCTTCCACGACTTAAAAACTACAGTGAAGTATGAGTGTTTCTTACAACAAAAGGCAAAGTATGTTTCAAAAAAAAAAATTGCACAAACGTCCAAAAAATTTTCTTTGATATCCAAATTGAATTTGTAATTTAAAATTGCAGTTGTACCCTAAGATCGGAATTTTAATAATGCTGTAATAATGCAGAATTCAGCTTATAAATGCCAATTGCTGAATTGTGTATTGTTACGGTATTTTTTTGATTCCAATGTCAGGGATACTGTACGAAAAGCGACTCCTGAAATTTTATATCTTCGGTTAATTCCACTTTTGTGCAAATTTTTTTTGCATTTGGATTTTGCAAAATATTGTTATATGCTCTTTTATAAGGATGTGGTAAAGTTTGTTAAAAATTAACATTTGCATAGAAATTTACATTGAAATTTTCAAACGTCAATGTCCGTGACTTGCTGTAAAAAAGATTTAAGTACGGTATTAATACAGTTGTAGTACCGTCTCAGAGCTTTCAATACCTTTACATTGTAAAAAAAATGCTATAGCTTTTCGTACATTTTTTGATGTTTATTTGAAAAGTTCAATTTAAAGTTCTGTGCAAATGTTAATTTTTAACAAACGTTGCCAAGTCATTAAAAACATTGCATTTTTATGCTGCATTTCAGGAAAAAAATTTAATAACTAGCATTTTTTTGCTGAAAATAAATGCTAATTTATTTAATTGGTTATTTATGGCAACACTTGTATGACAAGGTATAAGAAAAGCGTGCTTGATTTTTTCGATACCCGATTTACTTTTATTTTACGCCTCCACTACGTATAAAACACATTTAGGAAAAGTGTACAATGTCAAGAGCTTTTACAAAACTTTTTGAAATTTGATACTTTGTAAAATTTACGTCGTAAGCACATTATTGAAGTCACGGAGTATGTATTAATATTGCAAAAATTGTATTCCAAAATGTATCAAAAGCTTTAGCAGCCTTTTTTTAACAATGCAATGTTCCAAAATCATTAACGCTCTGAGACGATAGTACAATCGTATTTATTCGTACTTAAACTTTTTATAAAGCATTATTGAAGTCACGGATACCGTAATTAATATACAAATCTAATCAGAAATTAATATTTTTACCTTTTTACTGATATTTAATATCAATATCAATTAAAAATTTTGTTTTTCATTTGAAATTTTTATTTAAACTTTTTCTCTTAATCTTCACATTAACAATGGTAATCGATTAATTTGCAATAATTACAAAATAAAATAAAAAAACGACATTTATTAAATAAAAAAGAAAAAAAATATTCAGATTTCATAGATAATAACAATAATTAAAATATGCACACGAATACATTTATATAGATATATACACCTACATATTTCTAAAATTATTGTGTACATATATAAACAGAGAAAAAAAATGCAATAAAATTTGTTTTTTTATTTTTTAATTGAGTACAAACTGTACTCAAATCATTTAAATCATTTCAAAATCTTATGCAATTCCTGATATCTTTGTAGTCTCTTTTATTACACAATCCAGTAAAACAGTATCAGTGACTTAAAAATTACTGTATAATTGTATTGCTACACAATTACATATCATAAGCAGAATTGTGCGTTAATACCATATAATTAAAATTTTGAAGTCAGTGTTATTATTGCAATTTGGATGTTAGGGGTATATAGTGTTATACTTCTTTTTCGGTTTTTTAGAATTAATTAAAGTTGTTACTGCAACATATATCTGTTATATTTTGTTAATACTTAAAAACAAAATAATTCGAAAATTCATCAGAATTGAATACAAATATATCAAAATAAAAAAAAAACAAATTTTATTGTATCTGAAATGTATATAAATTCAAACTTCTACCAAAATGCAAATTCACCCTGTATATCAACTTTTGATTTATTCAGCAATGCGATTTTTGTTTGCTTAATAAACTAAAGTAATTATAAATTATAGTTTCTCTGTCTTTAAACTTACAGTAATAAGGTATTGATATACAAATCAGTTTACAATTTATATTTACTGAATTGTATATTATTAGCATATTACTGCAATTCTGAAGTTAACATTTATTATATTTTGGTAGATGTTTATAGATTTTAGTACTACATGAATAAAAAAATAAAATACTAAATAAAAATTACATATTTTGTAATCAACCAGACAAAATTATAAAAAGAAAAACTAAAATAATAATTTATAAAACAAATTTAAATAAAGGAAAAATAAATGTATTACAACTTAATTTATTAAAAATAAATTAAATTAAAGAAATACTAACATAATAAGAAAAATTCAAATTTAAGAAGCATAATTTGAAATAGAAAAAGGACTTTTTTTTTTCTTATTTTGTGCAAAAACATAATAAGTGGTTTTATATATAAAAAAAAACGTTACAAAACAAAAAAAAAATATCATAAAAGATTTGAACTAAAAATTGTACTCTGAATTGAAAATTGCAGCAATACGATTTTTAATCAGAATGCAGCTTATGAATTATAATTACTGAATGTATAACAATGTAGTATTACAGTAATTTTAAAATCCAGGGATATTGTTTATTTTTTTTTATTGTTTCCAGTTTTCACAAAGTCAAAATTGTATTAATATTGTGTTATTATGTAACTCATCGGCTAAATTGTGTTTTAATATCGTATTTACTGCAAATTTTAAATCGAAATAATCAATGCGCTCTTTGAAAAAAAATTTAACACAAATTAAAAAATATATGTATATATTTTTTTGATACTATATACAAACCCTATAATAATCTTAGAATCTCCCCGACATCTAAATTGCGCCGTTAACATTGGTCAAATGTCACAATGCAGATCCAATGTCAATTTTAATTATTCAGGAATTAAATGTATATAACTGAATAAGTCAGGGTGAAGTCAAATTTGGTAATAAATGCCAAATTAGATATTAAAAGCATAATTATTAATCTGTATTAGTACGGTATTTAGATATCAAGGAATTCTGAAAATTATTGCAGGTCTTTGAATTTTATTAAATGAATCAGCTTATATTTTATATTATTAAAACTATTATTAAATAGATAATCGAAAATAATTATATTTGGTTTCAGTTTTTAAGAAAATATGTTATTCGATTCCTATTTTGACATAAGAAACTTTTAAATGAATATCGTTAAAACATTCTTTTTACCTTTTTGGTATCAAGATTAAATTAACATAGTAAAGAAAACTGTAGGAAACACTAATTTTTAAATGTATTTTTTGATTTAATTTTACTTTAATTTTTTTTGTTTGTGTAGATAGGTATTTTAAAATAAAATTATATATAAATATATATTAGAAATAAGAATTTATTCATGTACATAATTGCTGTAGTGAACTATGTAAACAAAAATATAAAAGTGTCAAACATCAAAAATTGTGAATATACTTCAAAATTGCAGTAAATACGACGATAATACAGAATTGAGCTTAGAAGCTTTAATTGCTGAGTTTTGTAGCAATTCAGTTTTACTGCAATTTTGAGTTTATAAAGGTCCTAAATGCTTTGAGTTTAAATATGTATTAAAAAAAAATTACGTAAAATTTTTATATAAATTGCCAATTTTGCATAACTTCTTCAAAATGACACAAAATACATGATACAGAAGAAAACATGATAGATGTTTTTTTATAATTTGCTTCTAATTGAATCATAAACCATAGAGATCTTTATTCCCTAATGTACATTATAGGAGTTTATGCATAAACACATCGATGTTTTTTTTACAGTTTAATTTTCTTCTTTATAATAATATGCAAAATTCTGTATATGTATCACTGACATACAACTTGTAGGACTACTCTAATATCAAAATTGCAATAATACTGCATTACGAAACAATTCAGCAGTAACAAGTCATAAGGTGAATTGAGTTATATACATTGTATTATTGCAGTTTTGAAAAGTTAT